CTCTGAGCTTGGTTGTTTTCTTACAATCAAGCTCAGAGAGCACCAAGGACCCCACAGTTCAACCCTGAACTACAAATAATGTCTTATATTGGTCTTAGCTGGGTATCACATATCTTCATCTGAACTGGCTCCTTGTTCCCCTTAAAGTGCACTCAACAGCAGGCGTGCCAAGACTTTGTTTTGCACAATCATTATAATCTGTGCAGTGGCATAACTGACTGCACGTTTCTGAGTGACATATATGAAATTTACCATATGTATGTATCCTAGGAAACAATATATTCCCTGGGTTTCTGTATCCTTATTAGATGACAATCTTTATAGTCCCAGAAAATAAAGGAATGACAATTGGAAAGCTCTCACCTGCATAATATTAAACATTTTCTTGTGTTGTGTAGCACTTGCCTTAAATGAGTGATGGTTAATTGGTTTATTTTGTATGAAATAATATAGTTCTAAAATAATATTCTTCTATTATATTTAGTGTAGTTTAACTAATTGCTGAAAATCAAGATTGTGCAAAGTCATTCAAAAGCAAGAAATTGCTGACTTTGTAATATGATAGAACTGAAGGGAAGAAATTAGAACTGAATGCATATAATCATACATAGTATATAGCAGTGGTGGCGAACCTATGGCACGGGTGCCAGAGGCGGCACTCAGAGCCCGCCCTGTGGGCACGCGTGCCGTCACCCCAGTCCTAGGCCTTCAGCTGGGTTTTATAAAACCTTTTCACTTTAGGCCTCCACCGCCATGTGCAAAAAAAAAAAAAAAGGTTCAATCAGTCAATTTCAATTTCTCGCAGAAAAAAAGAGATCTTGCAGAGTTGGAATTGCTTGATTGAACTTTTTAGCCCCACCCAGTCTGCCGCTACCACCGCAGCCACGCCCACCCAATTGGCCATGCCCACCCAGTTGGCCACACCCAGCCAATGGGCCACACCCACCCGGCACTCGACGATGCATAAGTGGGTTTTGGGTTGCAGTTTGGGCACTCAGTCTCTAAAAAGTTCGCCATCACTGGTATATAGTAATGATGGAAAGGGATCCCTGCAAATTTAACTCCGCTAGATGTTGCTGACTATAAGGAATGGCGCTCATCTATGTTTTGAGGCCATGACCAGCACTGTCAGAACACATTTTTGTGGTCATGTGGCCAGCATGATGTTGTGGAGCGCTGTTTTTCCCCACCATACCTATTTATCTATTTACATTTGCATGCTTTCAAACCACTAGGTGGGCAGGAGCTAGGAGAAGACAAGTGTTAACCCTACTGCGCAACGCTCAAGTTATAATCCTCACAATACTATAAGAATTATTATAAATTGAAAGGTATGGCATGAGAACTGTTACTCCTATGTTCTACATTCCATGAGATGAACATGCATTAATTCTCTAGATATGGATAAAGCAGGACCTTGTCACCCATCTAAGCAACTTACATTTGCCACATATATCAATGTTCTAAATTTCCACCAGAGTTAAGTATCATAGTTATAATATGGTACACAAAAGCTATGACTTTCTGACAATGTTTGTTTTCACTACCCATAACCCAGAGATCATATTTACTGCAGACGTTTATGCTAGTACTTCAGTCTTTCCCAACTTAGTGTGTTCCAGATGCTGGCTCAAAAATCTAAGAATTGCAGTGTCAAAATATTTGGAAGAATCAGCTTTGGAAAATTGGGTCTGACATTTATTTCCCTTCTTATATAATCAGCATAGCATTGAGAGCAACTTGGGTTAACTCCAACTCGTAACCTTAATCCAAAAATCCATCCTCTTTGACGTAACCTCTGGTAATTTTGTTTTTAATTTCAAACTTCTTAACCTACATTTCATAATTAAAAACAAATCCCAAAATGCTACCAAAGTCATCCTGTCTAATTGCATTAGAAATTATGATAAAATATGATGTCAGTGTCACAGAGAAATAGCTATAGAAAAGATGACATTGTGGCAGAAATGTTATTAAACTAGATTATAGGACAATAAACTACAGAATAAAACTATTTTTAAAATGTAAAATTATACTGGCAAAATGCTGAACTGAGCAAGTGATGCTCTCAGTGGCCATCATGATCATTATTAACTGTAACATTAATTAAAAAGCCTGCATAACAGATATATACTGTACCATGCAGAAAATTTAAGTCTGCAATCCTATTATTTTTGCAGATTGAAAAATTCATAGGAATGGTGGTGGCAGCCATGAAATAAAGAGATATCTGCTACTTGTAAGCAAGATTGTGATAGACATACACAAAGTATTAAAATGCACAATCTTAATATCAAGAAAAGTACACATTGTCAAGCCCATTTGTAAAATACAATTCAGAAAGCCGGACATTTTTTTAAAAAAGCTGAAGAAAAATGTCTTGAATTATGGAAAAACGTGCTGAGAACACCAAGGACTGTAAACGAGCATCATGGAACACAGATGATGTAAAACTAGTTTGTTCATGGCATGCCCTAAAAACAAAGCTAAGGCTTATAATGGGAAGCAAGAGAAAACATCCTGATATCTGATAAAATTAAAGTCACTAAAAAAGAGGTCAACAGAAGACAGTGGCTATGTATTATCACTGATAAAACAAGCATGGCCTTACAAGAATAGAAAGAAGCAGTTACTGAAGGAAAATCCTAAAAAATGATGTCCTCCAACTCATAAAAGCAACTGAACAACCATGTCCTCCACTGAACTCAAATAAACACACCTCTGAGTAGCCCTGAACAGGATCACATTGTAAAGCATTTATGTCATCACACGTAGTCCTTGACTTACAACCACAATTGAGCCCAAAATTTCCATTACTAAGCAAGGCAGCTAAGTGAGTTTTGTCACAATCTTTTTTCACAATTGTTAAGCAAATAATGCAATTGTTAAGCAAATCTGGATTTCTCCATTGACTTTGCTTGTGGAAACCTGGTTAGGTTACAAATGTGATCACATGACCCCGGGACAGTGGAACTGTCATAAATATATGCCATTTGCTAAACGCCCAAATTTTGACCACATGACCATGGGGATGCTACAATGGTTCCAAGGGTGAAAACTGGTTATAAATCACTTTTTTCAGTGTCATAACTTTGAACGGTCACTAAAAGAATGCTTGCAAGTCAAGAACTACCTATAGTACTAAACCGTGTACGGAACAAATTGTATGTCGTTAATGCAGATTTACACATTTCAAAATCTCAAATCATGTCCAAATAAATATCTCTTCTATGCATTTTGTATATTAAAATTTACAAATGTTCAATGTTTTTTGTTTCACGAGTGCTGTTAAGCCATGATTGCTGTAACATCCGCTGTCTATGAATTCAGTAGATAGTAAACTATGGATTTTTCATTAAGCTGAAAAATCTATATTTGAGTTAGACTGTAGGAATGAATTCCTATTATTAATATTCATCCAAGAAATTGCTGCCTGTACCTGAAGCTAGTTTGTTGAGGAAAAGATCAGTCTAGAATTTTTCTTCCTGACATCTAGATTAGTATAATAAAATGCACTCAGTAGATAATATCCACCCAGAACCACATTGTCTCAATGAAACTTAGTCCTCATCATTTGATATCTATAGATTAAAGGAATCTAACTGTAGCTGCTATCATCACATATTGAATTCTGAGTTAGCATTCATACTATCAGGATTATAGAAATAACTAATAAAAACAACTGTTGAAAGAGGCCAAACTTAAGAAGAGAAGGTTTAAATCTGAAGTTCTTGCAGATACAGAGCTGCAGGATTTGCAATGGAAGGTTCCATTGTTAAATACTGAGACCAAAAATCAGCATAAGGTAACTTGCAAAGTGTGGATTCCATTCACAGAGAAGACTGTGAGAAATGGTAACTTGTCCAGGGCTGTTCCAGGATTAACCACAACCAGATTAGCCACAACCACTGCATATTGACAGCATTTCCGGCAAATGGTTTATCTCTTGGGCCGTACAATAATCACTTATGTATGCAATAGGTATGAGTTATACATAGCAGCTAAAGCCTACTAAGGTTCTGGGTAGGAGACCTATGGATTTCTGGTCAATGAAGAATTACAATTCGCTTTGTTGGAGCCCCTGGGAGTTGTAGTTGACAAACCATGGATCTTTGGAATCCACATTCCAATGTTAATTCACAGGGGCCTAAAGGGTGTTTATAAAGAAAAACAAAAATTACGCCCAACATTTCATGCTTTGGACCACTTGTGCTTAAAGGACTATATTCTTAGTGACTGCGGATCCACTATCCTACAGCTTTTACCCAGTGCTTTTTTTGTAAAAAAAATAAATAAAAAAAAAAAGGTGCCAGAACTCACACACATCCTACAACCCGCCTTGCCTACCCTACAAGGTTCCATCCCAAAAAAAGTGCCGTTCTGGGCGTTCTATGACAAAAAAAAAAAAAAAAAGCCCGGCTTTTACCACCTCCCAACGGTCCTTCAGACCTGGCCTGGGTAATCAACTCGGGCTCTCTAATCTTCAAGATTTATTTATTTACTTATTGAATTTATATACCGCCCTATCTCCCTTATCTCCCTTATTATCTCCCTTATTATATTAATTTATATACCGCCCTATCTCCCTTATCTCCCTTATTATCGCCTGTTCTCCCTCAGGGCGGTGAACAGGCGATAATAAAAACCATGATAAATATACGCAGATTTCTGTTCTAAAATCAAATTAAGTAACAGGCCTGCTCTAAAAATACCCCCTACAAAAACCCCACTAAAACATCACGGAAGTGCTCTGACTCGCACTCCCGACCCAGCTGGGAAGCGCATCAGTTTGCTCAGGGCTGTTTCTCGCAAAACCGAGGTGCGCTCCATTCCCACCTTGAATGCCGCCAGCCTTTGCCGTGCAGGAGGTGACCCGGGGCTCTTCTCGCGGTAGCCCTTCCCGCTCCTCTCAGGCAGCCCAAGACGGCACGAGCCGAGAGAGGGCGAGGGCGGCGGCGGCGGCCCCCAGCTCCCTCCCCCTTCCTTCCCCGGCCACTCACCTTGGGACTGTAGGGCCCCGGGATCAGCAGCTTGAGTGCCTGTCTCTTCAGCTCCACCAAGCGGGCGTTGCAGTTCTCACACCACACGCCGCGATCGGAGCCCGGGGAGGAGCCTCCTCCGCTGCCGGAACCGGGCGAGCCGGTGCCGAAGCCGGGTGAGCCCCCCAAAGAGCCCGGAGAGCTGGTGCCGATGCCCGGGGAAGCCGGGCCTGGAGAACCGGTGAAGGAGCCAGGCGAGGAGGTCCCCGACCCAGGCGAAGGGGTGCCCGAGGAGCCCACCACGGAGCCGGCTCCTTCTGGGGCGGGGCGGCTGCTGGACCGGGACTCCTCGTAAGCTTTCCTGTACCAGCTTTCCGGCGAGAAGGGCGCCGCGGGTTTGGTGGGGGAGCAGGAGTCGTTCACCTGAGCGGAGAAGGAAAGGGGAGCGGATTAAAAAAAAAAAAGGGGGGGGGGCAAGCGGACGAACCAAGTACACCTATCGATTAATCAGCCCCAGAACTAGCAATCACAATAGCCCCAAGCAGGCGAAAACGCCCCATCACAATAGCCCCAAGCAGGCGAAAACGCCCCATCACAATAGCCCCAAGCAGGCGAAAACGCCCCACACTTCTCCCTTCTCTGATTTCCACTCAAGGAGACCTGGGGGGGCGATTTTCCACAGAAAATGGGGAGGGGGGCGTCCTACGCATACACCTTCCCAAGGAGCCCAGATGAGTGATAGCTCTCTTCCGATTCCTCCTTTCCCCCCCTCCTCCCGGCCGCCCTTACTTCCTTGGCCCGAGTCAGGACTGACCGTAGCTACTACCCTTGGAAGGAAAGGCATCCCGACGTTTGCATCGCTACCCGAAAGGAGGTCTCGGGCAATGAAATGGAAGCCGGGGCTGCCAAAGTTCGCCACGGGCACCGGGAGTCTGCAGCTCCCGGGAAAGGAACCTGCCCAGGTTTATTGCACGCGATTTTCTGACGACGGAGCAGACCTTGCCCGATTGAGTATACCAACAGCACCTTGGTTGGAAACATTCCGCTTTAACAGGCTGCTTAGATCCGCTTGCAAGGCTGCGAGGCTACCCCGTTTGTGTTAAAAAAAAAAACAACACAAAACCAAACCCCAGACCGGTCTCAAGCATCCTCGTACGCCCCGACTTGAGGACTAACTTACCCCGTATTTCCTGTTTCGGGTGGTGACTGCAATTCTCTCTTTATTCCCGGCCACCGAATTCATGATGATCTTTGTGCCACGCGGGAGACTGCCTTGAAAATGTGTATCCAATGGGGAATCTCCAAATCCAATAAAGGTTCACACCGGCTAAAATCAATTGCGCGTAGGTGCTTTTTTGCTTTTTTTCCCCGTCCCTTTTCTCCCCCCCCCCAAAAAAAAATCCTTGACCCCCCCCCCCCAAAAGCCGGACCAAACCTCAGACCACCAGAATGAGGGTCCGCGAGAATGTCTTTGCTTCAGATCCCTTTTTTGCCTTCATTGTCTTCTATCTCGTTTAGCTTTCTTGGCGCAGAAATCCAAAGGGTCAGCATTTTCCCTCCCCGATCGCCAGCGCCAGCTGCCCCCGATAACCATGGCCATCCAAGGTAGATTTTTTTTAGGAAAGGCGTGAGGAGCGGAGAGCCTGGGTGTTGCTCCAAGCGGAGACTGCTCCGCGGTTTTTGCAGTGCGGTAACTTGTTTCCTTCGCCAGCGTTTGCAACGGAGTTAGAAGAAATCGTCCAAAAATCTCGGGATCCAGACTCTGGGAGGAGCCTCCGAGTTCCTTGCAGCCAATATCTTTCGGCCCATTTTTTGCCTGACAGTTTTGTAAAGGAAAAGGGAAAAAAGCAACTGGCTAGCTACGCAGCACGCCTGGAGCCGCGGAGGAGCTGTAAAGCAATGCCTTTCAACGGCTGCCTTTGAAGGGCTAGGCAAGCGAGGCCGGCGCGTAACTGCAGGCGGCTTGCTACTGTTGCTTGACCTAGAGAGATTGATTTGCAGCATCGCTCCGGTGGCATTGGGGATTTAAAACATGAAGGAGGAAAAAAAAAAAACCACCTCCCTCTTTAAGACGAGGAGATGTCCTTGTCTCCATCACAAACAGCTGTGCATAGTTAATATTCGGAAGAGCTTCCTGAATAAGATTGTAGGTCTGAGTCTTCTGCATGTGCAAGCTTGAAAGAAGTAGGCAGTGACAATCTCTGGTCAAGGCTGTCTTTTATATGGTAGGGGAATGCAATATTATTTTGGAAGTAGACAAAGAAGGTGACCAAGAAAACTTGCAAAATCTTAAATATGAGGCTTTGTCCCTTTTCTTTTACTCATCTGAGCAAAGAATAATTTCCACAGGTTTTCCACCCCCCCCCTCCAAACTATAAAAGACAATTGCATTTCTGCACAGTTGGGTGAATATGCTGCTTCAATTAGGGCGGATTCCTATTTGGTTAAAAAGTATTTTTGAAATTGTTCATACATAGCTTTCTCTCTCCCCACCCTTTCATAACCCCCTCTAACTGGAGAGGGGAAGGGAAGCCATACTGTTATCAATGGCCATTTTGATGGCAAATGGATCCAGCTGGAGGCAAACCCATCTAACCAAGATATCTTCAGATATTTTGCAATGTATTTTCTTTGTTCTGGATCCAGGTTATAATCAAGTATAATTTTGGCTGTGTGAACATTAGAGAACCATGGATAAGAATATGCCTAGAGACAGAGGGAGGGACGCCCTGCAAGACACAGCATTTCTGCCTATGCAGACTTTCCCCTTATGTAGACCTTGGGTGAAATTCACATTCCATTATGTGCAATCATGAAAAAGAGAAAGACATTGTGTGAAAATTCAGAAGCCACATAATGCTTGAAATTCTCAATTTATTTTCTCCACCAAATCTGCATGGAATTCTAATAGCCTTGGGTAAATGGGGATGATAAATTGGCTTCCAGCCTAACCTCTCCTGTTAAGATTGTGAAATATGTGGTGCATTTATTTTTTCCATACATCATCAAAGCCTCTAGGCCCACCTATGCATTCCAGTGACCACATGGAAAATATCTGAAATTGCTCCATCTGGCACCTGTTACAATATTAATGCTTAGCATTTATATCATTTTAGTTTTCAAAGCACTTCATGCTCATTGTTTCAGTGAATGTTATGGGCAATCTGGTGCATTCCTTATGTTTTGGATGTGGCTCTCAATCCAACTTTTATTAGGTTAGACGAATGAAAGTCGATATCCAAAATATCTGAAAGACCCCCACATTTCCTACAAGTAGATTAAGAGAGGGCTTGCAAGCTGGCAAGATCATAATGAGCCATAGATTTTCTGCTTTAGCACTGGGATGCTTACTATTGAATTAGATATCCCATGTTACTGGTAGGCAGTTCTGAGGAATCAATTCACTAGGAACCAGGCTGATTTTTCCATGTAGAAAAAAATGAATTTCTTTTGGCATATTTGAATGGGTATAGGACAAGCAAAATCCACGATTTATTAAATGGTGGCCTAAATGTATAGAGCAATCTTAGCAAAAAATGGCGGTTGTTCATTTCTGCATAAATATGTATTATATTGTAATAAGACATATAAAGATCAAACTGTTCCCTACACAAACAACTCAACCAGTCTCTCCCAAAATTTTAGTTAAATGTGGGAAATATACAGAGCAAATAAAAATTGTTATTCCTTAAAGTTAGAACTGTAGATGAAGTTGACAAGTAATAGGATGAAGACTGAGCAATGTCAATAACGTCTTTTCATTCATTGCTACTGTGCAAGTGTGGCTGTGCTTATTCAGTTTTTATCAATAGACAGTAGATTGGGTTTCAGAATTCCCAGACAGTACTGGATCTTTCAGAGATAATCAATGTTATGGACTTATGGTATTTATACTCTTGATTTGGCTCCTTGGAAGCCTTAGCCTGGCTTCTGCTTTAAGCAAAAAATAGACTCAAGTGGGCCTTGAGCTGTTCAGTTGTAATAATGTGAAGTGCAGCAACAGACATACACATTGTAATCCTTGAACAGACAGAAGGGATTTTCTGTAGTTGATCCTAGAGCCAAAGCACCCTAGCATCATGTTGATTGCTGTGCAGGTTGCTCTAGAAGCCACCATCAAAATACGCCAGGAACTTTGTCTGCACATGTGCATACAGTAGGCCAAGCTGTAACCCTAACCCATAGAAAACCAGGAATGAGATTATATTTAAAAATAAAAGTTGACTTCTGAATTTGTGTGTTTATATGGCTATTCTGTTTATTTGAAATATTTATGTCCTGCCCACTTTATAGAACTTGTAGCAAATCAGAATCCATGAAAACAAGATGAATCCCTGAAGCAAGTTAATTAAAAAGACAGAATGATAAACACAGTCATAAACTGATATCTCTAATAGGCAAACAAGAAGCATGATCAGTCTGTGTGTAACTAAGTCCTGAATGTGAGTGTGAAAAACCAGTTTGTCATTTGGTTATGAAAAGCGGGTAATATCTAGCCACCAAGAGAAGGTCTCTCTCACAACCCATATAGCATACATCTCCTAGCCTTTGGTTGGCCCTTTATCTGTCCTTCCTGGGCCCTGTGAAAAGTGATTCTGAAATAGATCCAGAAAGGGGGTTGTATTCACATTCAAACTGGAAGCATTGTGCCCTAAATTGTGTATATGGGCCACCTGTTGTGATTATGGCTCTGGTGTCCTGTCTGACTGTGCCTGATGTATATTGACATATCTTTTCAAAATTTGAAAAGTAAGAGAATGCATGTCCTAACATGAGCATGTTGTTTAAAAAACACGAAGACTCTCCAAAACAATAAGAAATACCAAAGTACCAATATGTCTAATACAGTATAGCATTGCACGGTTTGCAGGGACCCATTGTGACCTTTAACCCCCATCTCCATCCCACAGAAGAATGTTAAATGTGCCCCTCAACATCCAAACATTGTCCAGTCCAGTAAGTGAGTTGGGCTGAATGCAGAATACAAGAGCATCCCCCAGTGGAGATTGAAATATAACATTCAGTCAAAAGGCAAAAAGTGAGCTAAAAGGCAACTTATGACCACAATTGAGCCCCAAATTTATGCTGCTAAGTGAGAAGTTTGTTAAGTGAGTTTTGTCCCATCTTACGACTTTCCTTGCCCTGTTAAGTGAATCACTGCAGTTCTTAAATTAGTAACATGGTTAAGTGAGTCTGATTTCCCCATTGACTTTGCTTGTCAGAAGGTTGCAAAAGATGATCTCATGACCCTGGGACACTGCAACCATCATAAATGTGAGTCAGTTGTGAAGCATCTGTATGTAAATCACATGACCCTGGGGATGCTGCAATGGTCATAAAAGTGTGAAAAATGGTCATCAGTCACTTTTTTCAGTGCCATTGTAATTTTGAACAGTCATTAAATGAACTGTTGTAAGTCGAGAACTACCTGTATATTAGTTCGCCCTCCTTTTTCATCATCATTGCCCCTTCAATAATGGTCTGGAAAAATCTCCAAACACTAGAGCAGATTTTGATTAAGTAGGACAATTTCTACAATCATTCCTTACGCTTCATGAAACTAGCAGTGAAACTCAACTCTTCAAAATCTCTCCTCCCCCTCTCCAAACGAAGGGACTCTTCCCCCCAATGATTTTGCTGATCCATCCCATCCTTTTTCTTCTTGCTAGTAGTGGAGGTTGGGATAATATAATGTAAAAGGAGAAAAGCTAAGTTAGTGTTGTGGTCAGGGCCTCTTCTAGTGCAGTCACTGAGGGGAAAAAGGGGGGCACGTGCCCTGTGTAGTATGGTATTATCGTCTTAATTGGCTTGGATCAGCACTTCTCATGAAGAACAGGCAGGCTTGCATTGTTCTTCATCAGCCCTTTAATTAGCACACAGTTAGATGCCCCTGCCAAGCTGCATCTGCTGTGTTAGGGATCGTCAGATTGTGTGCAATGGTATGCTTAGTCATGGGAGATTAGAGACATATGAGAATCAAAGGGGGGCAGGCAACAGATTGGCCAGCTTGCTTGTAAATTCCAATTTGCAGAGTAGTGCCTTGTTACACACCAGGAAGCATAAGAACAGTAACATCTTGCTGTCCGTTCCCCCTGAAAGTTTGCCGACAAGGAACAGTAAGGATTCATGACTCCAGTTCAAACATGGTCAATCAGGCAATATTTTACAGTTGGCTAATAAAGCATAAAGCATAAAGTAAAACCTATTTAAATACCAGGTAGATTCCATCATTCAGAAAAGACA